ACAAATTGATTTTCAACAAAGACAAAAGAATTCAACAGAAAAAGCCTTTTTTACAAATGGTGCAGGAAAAATATATTCATATATAAAAATTATAATCCCAACTTCAAAGATATTCATGTATGAAAATTATAACCCCAACTTCTACTGATACATCCACAAAAATTTAAGATGTATCATAGGCTTAAACGTAAAGGGTAAAGTTGTCAGTCTTCTAGTTGAAAACATAAAAGAATATATTTACAACCTTAGGCTAGGCAAAGATTTCTTAGATACAACAAAGCACTTGCCACAAAAGACAATTTTGATGAAGTAGACTTTACTAAAATTAAAAACATCCGCCTATCAGAAGGCACCCCTAAGAAAATAAAAATTCAAGCTAAAGGGAAATATTTACATCTATCTATATATACATATGACCTTTTAAAACCAAATATATGTATGTCTGTATATAACTGACTTGTATTCAGAGTCTATAAAGAACTACCACAATTCAATAATAAAACAAGCCGATAACATACATAGGTAAAATCACAAACATATTTTCACACAAGGCATGATAAGGAGAAAATGGAAGAATAATTTTGGAAAATATTTGGAAAACTCTTCTAAAGTTAAAAATATCCCTAACTAGTGACTTAGAAATTCCACTCCTACTAGGTATTTACCCAAGAAAAATGAAAATATTTGTTCATAAAAATGCTTGCATGAGAATGTTCATAGGAACTATACTCCTAATAGCTAAAAACCAGAAGCAATGCAAATCTCACAAGTGAATGATTAACATATTTTTACCATGAAATTCTATTCAGCAACAAAAATAGAACAAACATATCAAAATATGGATGTACCTCAAAAACATTAAGTTTATGAAAGAAGCAAACACAAAAGAGTGCATACTGTATGACTCCATTTAAATGTAATTCCAGAACTAGAGTTCTAAACAATAGTATTAATAACAAAAATCAGAAGATAGTACTGTGGATGGGGAAGAGGGGACTGAATAAACAGAAACAGAGGAACTTTCTGTACTGATACAAATATTCTCTTGATTGTAGTGGTAGTGGTTACACGGATGAATGCATGCATCAAAACTCATAAAACTGGCCACTTAAAATCAGTGCATTTTAATATGTATAAATTTCATCTCATAAATTAAGAGCCTATGAGAAGATAATAATTTTAAAAAGAGTAGAAGGCCGGGCGCGGTGGCTCAAGCCTGTAATCCCAGCGCTTTGGGAGGCCGAGGCGGGTGGATCACGAGGGCAAGAGATCGAGACCATCCTGGTCAACATGGTGAAACCCCGTCTCTACTAAAAATACAAAAAATTAGCTGGGCATGGTGGTGCGTGCCTGTAATCCCAGCTACTCAGGAGGCTGAGGCAGGAGAATTGCCTGAACCCAGGAGGCGGAGGTTGCGATGAGCCGAGATCACGCCATTGCACTCCAGCCTGGGTAACATGAGTGAAACTCCATCTCAAAAAAAAAAAAAAAAGAGTAGAAATTATATGTTTGGCGAACCAAATAGAGGCATTGGAAAATAAAGTTCAGACAATTGCTGAGAACGGGGAGCAAAAAGACAGGTAAAAACAGAAGAAAAAAGATAAGAAAGATAGCCTGTTCCCCAAGAGAAAGCAGAAAACCAATGCAAAAGGACTAGAATGCAACAGTGAGTGGATCGAGCCAAGCATCCAGCAGTCACTTTATAGGGAGTTTCAAAAAAAGGAGAGAAAAATAAAGGAGAAGAAATTGTGAGAGACACGGAGAAAATCCCCCATAGCTGAAGGGAAATACGTACCTTCAAATTAAAAAGCCTTATAATTTCAAGGATAATAAATGAAAAAAACCTATACTAAGACACTTAACTCCTATGAATGCATTCACAGTAAGAATAACTTGTATCTAGACACATTGCCATAAATTTTCAAAGCATCAAACGTTAACTAGAAAATTTTAATCATTTCAGAGAGAAAATGATTCTGCTATCAACAAATTAAAGTGAGAGTGGCATTCTCAACAGCGGTAATCAAAGTTAGAAGAGAGCCTGGTCAGTGGTGTGTGCCTGTGATCCCAGCTACTCAGGAAACCGAGGTGGGAGGATCACATGAAGTCAGTAGATTGAGACCAGACTGAGCAACACAGTGAGACTCCATCTCAAAGAAGAAAAAAAAGGAAAAAAAAAAAAGTTAAAGACACTGAAGGATTGAGAGCTGAAGGAAAATACTTTTGATTCTATACATCGTCGAACTACCAGTCATAAGAGCAAAGTATCATTTATAGCCATACAAACATTAAAAAATAAAATTACCTTCCACAGGCCTTTTGTGAGCAAGTTTCCTTAGGATATATTCCAGGAAAACAGGGGAAAACCCAGTAACAGAAGGCGAGGGGCTAAGAAAGTTATTCACCCAAGAGTGAATAAAAACCCAGGACAGAAAAAACAATACAAAAGAACTAGAATGCAATCTGTTCAAATGAAACAGAAAGCCACTGGGCTTCAAGGGGATTATCTTCAAGCAGAGGAATGGAAGCCTCAATGTGCGTCATACAAAGAATGAGAAGATTCGGTGAAGAAAGTACATCCACCTACCTATTCCCCAAGAGAAAGCAGAAAGGCAATCAGGAAAGTGGGGACGGTTAAAAACTGTGTAATTATACAGTCCAAAATATAAAGCATGCTCAACTACAGCACATTTTGCCATTGGTGGGAAAGAAATAAAAATCCATTTGACCTTGATATCACAGTCTTAGTACGGCACAAGAATCATGAAGTCAAAACTCTGGTGAAAAAATGTATCATGCCATACAGCTCGGACTTGCACCCAATAACAACTATAAAGCCATAATACTGTAAACATTTTATTGGTTTTTGGCATGTGAACAAAGCACACATATTGTAGTTAAGAAATACATTTTCAACCTTGACAATGTACAAATAAATGTTCAGCTAAGGGAAAGTGGGCATGAAAGTAGCTTCTGAGGTGATAAAGGAAAAGGTAGAATCATTACTTTTCTCGTTTTACCAAACAAAGAGTCAAATATATTTTTAAAAGTTGATGCGAAAAAAGTAGTTATGTATATTATTTCGAATTATAAAGCAACCAATACAAAAACTAAAAATTGTGATGACTATTCCAAAATTCAGAGAAGAGAAGTTGTGAATGGTGTGAGCTATCTCAAGAAGTCAACGACAAAGGAGTTAGCAGTTTAACTTATTAATCAACTTACAGATCTAATATTAGAAAAGGTTAAATGTGGTTATCTCTGAAGAATAGTACTGAGGGTAGGACGGGTGACACAGCTGCACTTTATTATTCAATCTTACTATGCTATACTATTTGATTTTCAATCGGGTGCCTTTATTGCTTAGACAGCTGAAAATAAAATAACCTAATAAAACACAATGATCAAAAAGACAAAACACTAATTAGCATAAAAGATTTCATCACTGTTCTGCTTCCACTACCTCTTATATGGTTGTACATAAAAAGGCTCACACACAAAAATACACACATACATTTGCTTACACCTGGTGAGTGGAAGAAAACCAGGAGGAAAAAAAAAAACACGCTGCGGTGAGAGATTAGATGAGGGAAACAACAATGCAAGCAGTTGGGCTTGATCATTCATTCATTCAACAAATATTTTGAAGCCCCTATTTTAAGCCAGTTGTTTTTCTAACTGGTGGGCAAAGGACAATGAACAAGTCAGACTCTGCCCTCAAAGAACTTAATGACTCAAACGAAGGGAGAAAGTAAAAAACAGGGCAAAAGATACTGGTTTTATCATGAATTAAGGTTTCACATTTCTTCAACAGGAAAATGATACTAATTCATTTACTTTATATATACATTCCTTCAAAAGGTTATTTTTGTCCCAAATAGATAGAAACAGGGCAGGGGCCCTTGAAAAGCAGACACTGACAATTCTCAAGTAACCTCTTTCCACTGCTTCACTTTCTCCTTCTGCTCAAGGGAGTGTTACACGTTGACAACTGACTAAACCTCGAGGGCCAGAAACAAACCAAAGCGAAATTCTCCCTCTATGGTGAGTAATGGAGGGGCGGATTTTAGATGCTCTAGCCTCCTCCTCTAGCCTTCCTTTGAAGCAGTGAGAGCGATTGCTGTGCCTACAGCTCCCAAAGGACTCAGGTGAATGTGTGATTCACAGGAAAGGCGGGCTGTAGCTAGGGATGGGGACAGTATCCATCAGCAAGCCGCTCGCTCCACAGCTCGGCTCTCCATCTCTCCTGAGAACATGCGGGGCCACTCACTGCTCCCGATAGTCCTCTACCTCCCACAGACCCCACCCACTACGGCACTACGGCACGGAAAACTGGATTACCCAAATACCTGCCTCTGAGTCTGGGGACGTAGGCAGGCACAAAGACAAGGGGGAGGGAGCCTCTACACAGGGCCCCAGCGTCGTCTCTGTGGCAGGTGTTGCCGCTACGGCTTAGTGCACCAGACGCTGCATTTCAGGTCCTCCTATAAAAAAAGGCCGCTCCTGGAACGCCGGGGACTCAGAGGTTGCCAACAGAGTCAGCTGAAGTTCTCTCCCCGGAACCGGCCAGGAGCGCGAGCCCAGGCTCCCCATTCACAGCTCCCAGCTTTTTACCCTCCTCCCTCCCTTCAGCCTGGCCTTTTCTTCTGCCCTCACAGCCACCGCGACCCAACACTAAGGAAAGACCCCGACTTCTGGCGTCCTGCCACTTGCCCAAACTGGCGAGGAAATATAGCGAGAAAGAAAGAGATGCGGGGGTTGGGGGCGGTTGGAGATACTGAGTGAGGGAATGGAAGACGAGGAGCGTGGTCTGGCAGGTTAATGGGACTGCACACAGGAAGGGGAAGACAGAATTTGGGATTGAATCTGTAGAACACTCAGGCGTTCACCAAAGACACCTACATTGGGTCCTTTCTCGCTGCTGCAGCCCGCTGATGGTTGTCCGTACATGCTTCCTGCTGTGGCTGTCTCGGAACGCCTGTCTGCCGCTTCATGTGAGTGATGTTGTGGAGGGTCACTCACACAGGGATCGCGGATTGCGGTCGTGGGGGGGTCTTCCTTCTCTAACTTGTCTCCAGGAGAGAGGACCTGGCCTGCGGGTCCTAATGGGTAGTCCGCTCGCACTAGGACCAGCCCTGGCTTGAGAAACAGGAAAGAGCTGGAGACCTCCTTCTAAAGGAGCCACGTTTGAAAAATAGGATGCAGGGCTAAATTAAGAATGCTACTAGAAAAAACCGATCCCTAAGTGTATTTGCTGTTATGTAAATGTGTGTGTCGAAGGACTTGGGTACTCTGGGGGACAGGAGGGTGAAGACAGGAATTTATTCATTCACCGAATAGTTATTAAGCTCCAACTCTATTCCAGGCACCGTTCCAGGCATTAGGTGAAGAGCAGTGAACAAAACAGGCAGACATCTCTGTCTACTTGTAGCTCACATTTTAGTGAGGAAGGCACATACTAAGCAAAGTAATTAGAAACGTGCTGTATTTTAGGTCGTGATGAGTGCTGAAGAGAAATATAAAGCAGGGAAGAAGGATATAGGTTGAAATTTTAGAGTGACACAGGAAAGTCTCACTGAAAAGTTGACTTTTAGTAAAGAGCTGAAAGAAGTGGGAGATTTAACCATGCAAATATCTTGATGAAGTGCAGTCAGACAGAGGGATCAGCCATTGCAAAGGTCATGAAGCAGAAACTTGCCAAAATAGCAAGGAAGCCTGTAGGTCAAAGTTGAGTGAAGGGTTTAATCCGTCACTGGAGAGTAAATCAAGGAAGGCAGGTCATGAAGATCTTGAGGGCATCTAACTTTTATTCTTAATGAAACAGGATTTTGGAGGGTTTTGAGCAGTGGAGTGATGTGATCTGACTTCCTTTTAAGAGGATCACTCTGGCTGCTATCAAAAATACACGGAGGAGGACTTGGTGGGAGAAAGAATGCCAATAAGGAGAGTTTTGCAATAATCCAGAGGAAGCATGATCGTGGTTTGACTATGGGTGGTGAGAAATGGCCATTTATATTCTTGGTGCACTTAATTTGGATATGTAAGAGCATTATAGATGACAGGATTAATTGTATTTAATTAGGCTTTGGAGGACACTTTAAAAATGAATTCCAGTGTGAGATTCAGAGTGACAAACACAGGTAAAAATCATGGCTTTGCTATGTGATACTTGAAGGGATTCAGGTAAGTCATGATTTTCCTGGATCTGTCAATAAAACGGAAATAATATCTCTTAAGATTGCAAAGATTAGGGTATATTACAGGTATTTAATGACAAGGTATGTAATGTGCCTGGTCTGCAAATCTCAACCAGGTAAAAGGTGGCCTTATTGTGAGGTAAGACGGTCATAGGAAGCCAAGACATACTCCTTTTTAAATGTTATGGACTCTTTACTGGGGAGAAATTTTTTGTGTTAATGACAATGATATTTAGAAATACATGGACTGGCGTCTTATATCTGTCCACTCTATAATCATTCTCATAGCCATTCTTAAAACCCTCCAGGACTCCCTATGTCCTCATCAGTAAAGGGAAAGAAGACTCTCTGGTAAGGGAAGCAAGAATAAATAGGAACTTTTACAAAAAATCAATTTTAGATACTCTTTTTATAGGTTTTGGCAAAGGTTGATAAAAGACCTATGGAATTACTGCTGGTTGCTGCGCTTATATATTTTGAGTGTCGTGAGATGCATTGCTCTCAGCGTATTTACCTTTTCTTATCTTCTTTAAATTCTGACTTTTGACATATATGATTTAAATCCTAAGAGGTGTTTTAACCTAGTTCTTAAAGGTGCCACATTGCTTAACACTATAATAAGGACATTCTTTCAGTGTGGGGTATTTTATTTATACTATAATACTCTTACATATCCAGTAATTAGATCGTCTAGCAAATCAGGGAGAGAAGTTGGAAGACATGAAGGGAGGAGAAGACAGGAAAAAAATGAATAAAATTATGTAGTCCATCAACTCTGATATACACATTTTTCTCATACTTACATCTCTGAAATAGGCGGGTATTTTTAAATTGTTAACATCTTTAAATCACTATAGATGAATTGGCAGTTGTGAAATATTTGTCATTGCCCACACTTATGCACACTTGGTCATAACTTAATATTGTCATTATTTCAGTGGAGTTATATATGCAGTGTTGGTATATAGTTGTTGAGTTTAATTTTCCTTTTAAATATCCTTTAGAAGATTATGATTAGCATTAGAATGAAAAGTTACTGCGTATACAGGGAAACAAAAGGGTGATACAAGATAAAATTTCAGGGTTAAATTTAAAAGAAGTCTTTCGATAAATAATGTAGGATGTGCCTCAGTGATAAGAAAGCACTGGGTCAGTTGATTCAGTAGTGTTTTTTGTTCATAATGGTACATAAAATAATAGAGCTTCTTGGGATTGAAGCCACTTTTCAACTGATGGCATTTTAGATTTCCTGAAATAAGGTATTTAAAGCTTCCAACAAAAATGTAATTTTTTACCAAATGTAATTCTGAAATAGTGAAATTATAGGTTTTGACTAGAGATACTTTCAAATTTGTGTAGAGTTCCTATATAGTATAGGAATTCTACAATTAAAAATCTGTCTGTAAAACTTTATTTCAAAGTAGTAACTTTTATGTTTGATTCCCAATGTTGGCAGGCTGGGGCACAGATTTTGCTATTTAAAAGAAATGACAGGCAGTTTAGTTGGGGTAGGGAGGACTATTGAGGAAATTGCTGAGTAAACAAAATTGATAGTAAAGATCTCAAAATCTTAAAAATCCATCTTTGTGTGTATTTTAGTGATTAAGATGTACTGTAAATTCATGGACAGTATTTAGGATTCTGTGTTAGAGGCATCGTATGATTAATGCCTTTTTAGGTTTGATAAAATATGATAATTAACATTGAGAAGGACAAAATTAATGTGAAGGGACAGAATGATTTAGAGAATATGTTTCAGAAGCTTTTGTCATAAAAAAAATATGTTCATTCTTACCATTTTAATTTAGTAAAGGAAAAGAAAAGGTCTTGATTCTCACCAAACACAATTTACATACTTGGTATACTGTTTTCTGTGCTTTTCTCTTCATAAATATTTTATATTTGCAATTACTGTGCATGTAATTGTTATATCTATTTTAATCTCACAATCTTAACTTTTATTTTGGCCCAGAGACTTAAACCAGCATTTCCCAAACTGTTTTAGAGAATACTACTTTAAATAAATGTTAATAGATATTCCTGGGTTAGGATTCTGTCATTAAATGTGCTGGAAAATGCTTCATAATTATATCCTTTAGAGAAATTATAGCTAGAGCATTAAAAGAGTTAGCTGCAGCATCAGACAGACCTGAGTTTCAATCCTCATTTACCAACTACATATTACATGAGGCAAATTAATTTTAATTCAAGTTTTCTTCTCTGTATAATGGAGATTATTACAGTATTCTAAATGACTTGTGTGTTTAGCCAGCCATCGTACATGTTCTACAAATATATGTAATTGTCATTATCATCTGTGAGAAACCTTATAGATATTAGCACATTAGAAACTCTAAGGACTTAAAACTTTGAAGGTTAGCTTATACTCAATGTAAAATTGAAAAATCACAGAGAAATAATTAGCATAGATTAATGAAATGAATACTGGGTTGAATGGTAAAAGATTTATTTCAGCTTTAAGCAGTGTTGTTAAACGATCACTGTGCCCTAAGCATAACATTATTTTAAAAAATGTCTTCAACTGCGTTTCCTCATTTGTCTGAAAACTTAGTGCAAAGAACATGATTATTTGTGTTCTCTGCTATAAACTCAGCATATGACACAAAATCGGGGAGTATAAAGTTGTGGTCGTGAACTTACATTTAGGGACGTGGCAGCTAATACAAATCACAGACAACAGTGGGTAGTAAAGTGTCTGTATGTCTTACTTAAAGACATTCACATCAGTTATTTCCAACACTGTTAACCCTGGAAAAGAAGGTATCCCTGAACTTTGTGGTGTCAGTTTGTGATCCCTAGAAAAGATTAGCAATTAAGATCAAACCCTGAAGAACATTGTCGTTAATGGGACATATAAAGAAAAAGGAACCCTGAAAGGAGGTAACAAGGAAGTAGGAGGTGAAATCAGGTCAAAGTAATTTTATAAATTAAGAAAATGAAGTATAAAAAATTTAGGTAACTTTACCAAGGTCACACAGCCTAAATATATGATTTACCCAAGGCTTGCTTATAAACTCTCTGAAAAAATCCTTTGTTCCTCTGCCAGTGCTAGTGATCATTATCTGCATATTACTAGAAAACATTAACATAAACTTATACATCCAACTTATATTTTTAAAAAATTTAAATGATAATCAACAAGTATTAGAAAACCCGTTTTCAGGGCTTCTGTTCAAAGACAGCAAATGGCTTTTAGCATTTGAGAAAACTTATGTTAACAAAGAGACATAACTAGAAGTGAAATGTTTTTAGATTTCACAAGATGAAACGTTTTAAATATTGGCATCATGAATAATATTTCCAGATAACCAGTTATCTAGGACTGGAGAATAAGTAAAGACTGGCTGCCAGCACAGTGGTTCACATCTGTAATCCCAGCACCTTGGGAGGCCAAGGCAGGCAGATCAGTTGAGGTCAGGATATCTATACCAGCCTGGCCAACATGGTGAAACCCCATCTCTACTAAAATGTCAAAATTTGGCCGAATAGCAGGCTCCTGTAATCCCGGTTGGGAGGCTAAGGCAGGAGAATCGATTGAATCCAGGAGGCAGAGGTTGCAGTGAGCCAAGATCATACCACTGCACTCCAGCCCGGGTGAGAAAGCAAGAGCCTGTCTCAAAAAAAAAAAAAAAAAGTTTTATCACTTCTCTTTATGATGTTGTTTCCTCTTAGCAGTTGCATATGTGTGTTTAGTTCATTTGTGTTTGTGTGTTTTGAAACATGGCATTCCCCTTCCTAAACTTATGCTTGTTCTTTAATACGTATTTTAAAAGTCATATTTTATGTAACTCATTATTCCAGTTATATTTTACAGATAGTTAACATACATATCAACTCAGTAAAGTTGTATTTTTTTTCTCTTAGGCTAGGGTTTATTATCTCTGTTTTGCAAATTACTGTTAGTCTCAGAAGATTTTTTAAATGTTTTTGTATGCGTCAGAAAATGAGTTTCTTTTTTTGATTTTTCAGCAACGTGATGGGTATTTATTTTTTAAGTGACTGTCTAGACCTGTTGGCTTATTTATGAGCATTTTTGCAGATGGACGATTATTTTAACAGTTTAGAAAAATATATACCAAAAGAGCACAAAAATTCAAATAAAGATACCACCTTTTAAACTGCCATTTTTACCAAAGTGTACACAGAATACCATGTTGTTGTTACTTAAATGTTTGCAAAGCCAGAATTGTAGGGAAAATATCTCAGTAGAAATGGATATATGAAGAAAGTTAAAGTAAATAAAGTATGCTCTTCTGAATTTTAGTATCCTGAGTACAGACAGCATTTCTTTAGTTTTTAACTGTTTTCTATTTTAGTCCAACATAAATAATGATGAAATATATCAACAGGTGAAATGTGGCTATCACAAGCAATGTGTACCTGATTGGGAAGAATTGGCAACTTGTATATCTCTAGCAAAGACATATTTGATAAATAATACTAAGATGAATGTGAATCATGGTACATTTTAGAAAAATACATTTTGTAAAGGTATGACTCAAAGCATCTTATTCAAATGTCAAAATTAAGAAAGAAAACTAAAAAACAAATAACTGATATGAAACAAGTAGATTTAAGTATAGACTAATGCTCATTAATAAGCCCACAGGTCTAGACAGTCACCTCAAACATAAATACCAGCCAGTTTATTGTGGCTTTTCAGAATATTCTTTGTATAGAATTGGTATTATATAATAATTTGAAATTGTCAATCTGTTATTATGTCCAGTTATTATTAAAAATTTCACCATTAATATTGAGTGCTGCTTTATTTATTTAAAATCAGAATGATTTCAGTAATGCTTGTGTCATTGTTATACCTTGAATTATAAATTCTTATTTAATCAGGTAAAAAAGAACAGTTCATAGTATTGCTAACAATTAACTCTCTCTGTTGTGAATGTGATTATTTTTCTTAGTATGTAACAGTTTAAACTTTAACGTTATGAATTAATTTCAGATTGTTTGCTTACATGTACCTTGGTAGTATTTTTAAAAATTTCTCTGAATTTATTATAAAACTAAAATTTTAATTTTTAAATTAAAGGACACAGTATATACTGACATATCAGAACAAGCATATGATTAATATTGTTTTCTTAATTATCTCTTTAATATTTGTCTTTCCTAATTAACATTTTCTTCTTGAAAATTGTAGATAAGTAAATACACAGTAGAAACATCCAGTATACAGAAATATAAATGGAATGAAGTCAGCAACTCTTTACTTTGGAACACAGGTGTAATACTCCTTAGCATAAAATTATTGTTTTTCTTATCTTTTAGTGTACCTGAAACTTTCTTTGAAACCTTTCAACCTTAAATGTGGCTAGTCTGTTTTCTGCATTAGGTATAATTATATTTCCTCTTCCAAATAGATTAAGAAATTAGTCTACTTAATATTTCTGCTATTTGTTTGGCCTGCTGCTTTTTATAGGAAAAATATTTTTCTAATGTATTTATCTATTACAGTAGAAAATGTTTTTCCTTTCATACTGCTTTTTCATGGTATCCTATAGTATAAATTTATTCCTTTCACAGTGTAATTTGTCACTTTTATTTTTTCATCTAGGATTTTCTGCCGTCTCTTGGCAAAAATGGCAAATAATGATGCTGTTCTGAAGAGACTAGAGCAGAAGGGTGCAGAGGCAGATCAAATCATTGAATATCTTAAGCAGCAGGTTGCTCTACTTAAGGAGAAAGCAAGTAAGAAAATTTAAAATTTTCTAAGGAGATACTTAAAATGAATTTATACATTGACAGAGGAAAAATGATGTTTACCACGTAAGTTAAGTTTTACTTAGAAGTGTCTGTTCTATGTAGAAAAATATCAGAATTTTTACCTTCAGAACTTCGATTGGTTTTGGTTTTGTTTGTTTAAATGTATTTTCTTCACAATAGTCAGTGTTAATGTTAGAATAGAAATTTGGAAATATTTTGCTGCCACTAGTAGAAATAAATGCTCTTCTACATTTTGTAGTGTAAACAAAAACCTGTATTTACTCTCCAGAAACTTTTTCCTCTTTATCATTTTTTTTTCTAATTTTAACATGCCAGGTTGTTTCTTTTTAAATAATGTTTATTGAGATTTTAAAATTATTTTTCTTAAAATTCTTACTCTCTTTTTATTAATAAGATGAAGAGATTGGACATGGTCATTGCTTGTATGACATAATACATGTTTTAAACAGAATTTTGTTTTCCATAGGTGGCCATTTACTAGCACATTGACGAGAATTTCAGTTTTGTTGATTTGAAAATCTTTTTTACTTATTCTTCACCTTTCTATTATTCTTTTGTAGCCTATGCTGGCCGTTTTAGCCTATGCTGGCTGTTTTTAGGCTCCCAATTTAGAATAAATATTTTATGAAATCTCTGTTAATATCTTGTAAGGAAAATATTTCTTAGAAAAATAACCCACCTATATATAATTTAAAAATATATATTAATCTGGTATATAATAGAGAAGAGAAATAGAAAGTTATAAGTAGTAGTAATAATGATATATATTTTAGTAAGTAATACTTCCGTCAGATTATACCACCAGAGGCAGTATAAGAGGGTCACATGCCACATGATTCACATACATGGAATCATCAAGAATGCAATAGGTACAATGCTGACTAGGATAGACGTATAGTCAGACTGCCTTTGTGTAGGTATCTTAGATACCAGAAGCAGATTTTAGTGATGTAGATAATTTACTCAAAATGATGAGTGATTGATTAGATAATGCTTTGATTAAAAGAAGGTACAATCTACTCTTGATTTATGTAGTACTTGATTCATGGAAACTTTAGGATATAATAAGCATGCTTAAAAATATGTATGTATATATAAAGAATAGTTAAAATATAGGCTCAAATAATTATTAACGGGATTTTTACATATACAGATTTATTATAGACCACTAGGAAGTTCTGCAGAATGTAAAACAGTTCTTCATTTTGCAGGAGCATCCAGCATACTGCAGGACATCTGGCATTCTTGGCCTCTGCCCATTAAATACCAGTACTAACAATCAAAAATAATCCCACCAATTTTCAAAGTCCTATCTACAGAGCAGAACCAACCCCGCTGAGAACCATTATTTTTCTCTTATATTTTTGTTACCCCATTGCACACCTTAATACATATGTTATATTTTGAGCAAATCCTTGAGTTATTTCACTCATTGAGTGTTTGATTAGCTCAACTCAGACTTTACCAATATTTAGCTTCTTTTAAAAGGTAATAACTAAAAAGAAAGACATGAGAATAGTTTTTTCTTGTGTGGTAATGTCTCAGACTTTTTAAAAAAATACAATTTAATATAGTGCTTATCTCTCTTTCAATATCTCTTATTGACATTTTATTTTATTTTTTAAAAATTCTTTTGAGACAAGATCTTGCTCTGTCAGCTGTGCTGGAGTACAGTGGCACGATCTACCAGCTCACACTGCAACCTCAACCTCCAAGTCTCAATCAGTCCTCCCACCTCAGCCTCTTGAGAGGCTGGGACCGCAGAATGTGCCACAGCCCCCAGCTAGTTTTTGTATTTATTGTAGAGATAGGGTTTTGCCATGTTGCCCAGGCTGGTCTCAAACTCCGGGGCTCAAGTGATCCTCTTGCCTCAGCCTCTGAAAGTGCTGGGGTTATGGGATTATAGGCAAGAGCCAGTGCTCTTGGCTACATATTCACACTTTTGTGCCAGCTTCTTAAGTTGCCCTTTATTATAGCTACAATGCTGAAAATGTGGTAATTTGGTCTTAGTTAGCATCTTAATAGAAGCTAGGAAAATGATTCATAAAGCCTTTCTCTTTTACTATTATTTTATATGTTTTCTTCTTTTCTCTCTCTCTTAAATATCAAGTTATTTTAATAAATATTAAACTGGCATAAAAGCACTGGCCAAACATTTGGTTACACTAGAGCTAGTATTTTCCTAGCTCTATTTATACTGGCTGCCTTCTTTTCAAATAGTATTCATACAAAGCCTTTTTTAAAAACACATATTTTGGCCGGGCGCAGTGCGCCTGTAATCCCAGCACTTCGGGAGGCCGAGGCAGGTGGATCATAAGGTCAGGAGTTCAAGGCCTGCCTGACCAACATGGTGAAACCCCATCTCTACTAAAGTTACAAAAATTAGCTGGATGTAGTGGTGCTCACCTGTAATCCCAGCTACTTTGGAGGCTGAGACAGGAGAGTTGCTTGAACCTGGGAGGCAGAGGTTGCAGAGAGTCAAGATGGTACCACTGCACTCCAACCTGGGCGACTGAGCGAGACTCAGAACAAAAAAAAAACCCACACATATTTTAACTGTATGTTCTTGATCCTAGTTTTGCAGGCAACTTTGAGGGAAGAGAAGAAACTTCGAATTGAAAATGCTAAACTAAAGAAAGAAATTGAAGAACTGAAACAAGAGCTAATTCAAGCAGAAATTCAAAATGGAGGTAATTAAATATAGAAAATTTGAGTAATCCAGAAGTTAAGAAGTTGGCCAGTCACACTGACAGTGAGGAAAGAAGTAAGAATCTGTATCCAAGCAACTTGACCAACTTCATAACTTCTGGATGACTCAGGTTTATCAATAAAATGGGGGCATGAATAGAACCTACTTCTTAGAGTTTGAGAATTGCATGGGTTAACTCATATACAGCATTTTGAAAAGTTTTGGGCCATAGTAAGTTCATAATAAATGTTAGCTATTGTTCTTGTCTGCTCATTTCTCAGTTTAGTAATTATTGATTAAATAGGAATCATGCCTTTATTCTTTGATACCTCAGTAATGGCTAAAATATGCTTAATTTTTTTTGACAGCCATTTTGTAGTCTCAGACAGTGGATACTTGATAACCATATGCAGTGAATTTTTCTTTTAAAAAGAGTTCTTATTTATGGTTTATAATTTTATATTTTTTATCATATTTGTTGACTTAATATGAATGACATTATTTTATTTTCTGTCTCAGTGAAGCAAATACCATTTCCATCTGGTACTCCCCTGGAAGCTAATTCTGTGGTTTCTGAAAATGTGATACAGTCTACACCAGTAGCAACCGTATCTTCTGGTACCAAAGAACAGATAAGAGGAGGAACAGGAGATGAAAAGAAAGCAAAAGAGAAAATTGAAAAGAAAGGTATTTTTGACCTTTAAGCATATTTAGCTCTTGACTAGATTATCAGAAAATGTCAGATTTTGATAGTGATAATAATAATGGTATCAAAAAGAAAGTTCAACTTTCATGAGCTAGGATAATATTAGGAACAATACGATATTGGAACGTACAAGCTGGGTCCTAAATGGTGTGTCAATATTGACCAGATTAATAGGGTAAAAATGTGGCATTTTAGGCAGAGGGATCAGCATAAGTAAAAACATAGAGTCAAGATGAAGTGTAGAAACCCATATGTAGTTTGATATGGCTGAATTTTGTGTAGAAACCCATATGTAGTTTGATATGGCTGAATTTTGGTATCTATTTGTGGTATAGTTTGAGAGAAGTCCTAGATGGGAAGCTAGCTTAGGACCAGCTGTGGTGGTAGGAAAAAGACATTCCACCAGTCAGAGCAGACTGTCTGAAGTAGAGTGTGAGGTATTAAGATTTCAGGAATCCATGGGAACTAAAGTAGGAAGAAATGTCACCATCCACTTAGGCAACAAACCTTGAAATCTAGTCGTCAACCTGCCTGTCCTTATTCTTCATTCTTCATGTCTAATTAACCAAAAAATCCTGTAATTCCTGTCCCCAAAACATACATAGACCCCAGCTCTGGTCTTTCCTTTAATTAGGTGCTACCTTAATTCAGGTTTTCACGATCTTTCATCTGAATTAATATTAAAGCCTAATCTTTTTTTGTTTATTTTTTAACCTTGCTGCTAAAGCTATTTTTTCTAATCGTAAATCTGACTTCCTCTCCCCAGATATGTCTAAAAGGTGCCTTTATAAATAATTATGCATATCTGTCATTACATTTAAACTTATTTACATTTTTGGGGGGAAAATATAACATGGCAGAGGGATTTATGAACTAACTCGATTTAGTCTCCAAAGCACTTGCCAGTTCCTTTGGCAAATATCAGTAACTTCTGTTAGTTAGAAGTAGGTAGGGGCTGTACAGCCTCTGCTATACAACTTCACCACTGGGTGTTATGATTATAATGAAAGCAAATCAGACTAATTTTTCTAGTATAAAAAGTATGTTAAGAAGTAGACACAAAACAACTATATAGCCTGTTCTTGCAAATTTGGTAGAATCCATATTCTATTCTCTAAGGAGGTTACACTGTTCTAACTCAGGATTAATTCATCTTCTAGTAGGAGAAGGCAACAAGGCTCTCCTTTGATGGAAGAGGGAGCACACAAGACCACAAGACCAAATGGAATTATAGGAGTAGAACACTTCTGTCCAATGGAACTTTCTATGTACGATAATGAAAACACTCTATATCTGCATTATCCAACATGGTAGCCAATGGCCACATGTGGTTATTAAAGATTTGAAATGTGGGTAGTATGACTAAACTGAATTTCTAATTTAAATTATTTTAAATTTAAATAAACTATGTGGCTGGCAGCTACCATATTGGACAGTACTGTTTACAGAGGGCTGTTCCAAAGGTGTTTGGCTGCTAACTAGTATTGCCAGATTCTGCTTATACAAGGGCTGTGGTCTCCATACAATCTTTCTAGACTGCCACATATCTTTTTTTTTGAGACGGAGTCTTGCTCTTTCACCCATGCTGGAGTACAGTAGTGCAATCTTGTATCTCTGCAACTTCCGCCTCCCGGGTTCAGGCAATTCTGTATCAGTCTTCTGAGTAGCCGGGACTACAGGTTCACGCCACCATCCCCGGCTAATTTTTGTACTTTAGTAGAGACAGGGTTTCACCATATTGATCAAGTTGGTCTGGAACTCTTGATCTCAGGTGATCCACCCACCTCAGCCTCTGACAGTGCTGGAATTACAGGCGTGAGCCACCACGCCCAGCTAGACTGCCACATATCTTAATTGAGCATCACTCATTTGTCAGTGAAATATTTCTGAAATTCCTTATGATAATTAACAAAGATCTTGGTATAGATTTGAATATTTGCAATCATTTCTAGAATGGAGATTCCTGATAAAACTATTTCAGATGCCTAGGAAGTAGATTAGAGTTTTAAAATATATGCAAATATAGATATATCGTAATACTACAATTTTTTTAAGTAAATATATAGAGTTTATCATACAAAGATAACTATTAAGACTTTGGTATATTCTGGTAATTTTGTTGTATATATTTTTGTGTATCATTTGGATTTTTATCATTTAAAAAATCTTTGCTAATTTATGGAAAGTGAAATTTTTTAAAAGCTTGCTGATGACATTTAAAAATTGGCCAGTATTTTAAGTTAGTTCCATCCCCTCCTTGATAAGCTTATTGTTGTATGAATGATGAATACCTTTACACAGAATCTTCCTTTCCTGCTTCATGCAAAATTATTCTTCACTGAGTTTCTATATTTCCTGTATGTAATGTTTATCACATGTTTATTATACATGTACATGTCTGTCTTCCTTAAAAGAGATTTTGAGTGCCTTGACAGCATGGGCTGCCCATCCTACTATTTCCATTGTCATGTAAATCTATGTTGAAAGATTAAATAAATGTATAGTTGAGAAAGAACACTTCCAAGCTGCAACAGTTTATCTCTATTCTATGGATTCAAAGGTCAATAAGGCTTTATTTTGCCTTTACTTTTCTTTGGACAGAAAAGCTAATTGTAATCTTAAAGAATATGAGTTCTCTTTGCAGGTTGCATTTAACTCAGTAGCTAAAGTAATTATTTGTTAACAAGCGTTATATTTTCAGCAAATAAATAAAAATATAATTATTAAAACATAATCAGAATAAAATATTCTTACCTGCTTAAATCGTTACTGTGGATAACCCTAAAATCTGATGCATCTTCAGGGAAATCTAAGAAATGGAGAAATTAATTATATACTTATTAATATATATAAGTGATGAGGAAAATATTTGATCAGTGAAATTGTATTCCACTCTAGTTCATTCTATCATTTGGGTACTGTGGTGTTCTTTCTAAATAAAGTATTTGTCACCTTCCAAACAGTCACAGTAAAAGTTTTTAGAGGATTGTCTATTGTCCTGTTTCAGGGAAAGGCAAACTTTTTCTGCCATAAAGCTTTTGTCACAACTACTCAGCTCTGCCCTGGTGCAAAAGTATCCATGTATGATATGTAAATGAATGAATATGGGGTTCTCTTACAGTAAAACTTTATTTACAAAAACAGGCAACAGGCTGGATTTGACCCATGAGCCATAGTTTGCCAACCTCACACCACCTTTCAAATAGAAATACAACAGAGAAATAGCTAAAATAGGTTTCAAGATTTTATGACTTGGATAATTTTTTTCTTTATTATTTCAGTGAATGTAGGAGATAATTTTTTTTTTCCTTTTAAGCTCATCAGTATTGATACCATCGAGTTTTCATAGTGTTTTATTTGTTTGGTTTTATTTCTGATGCTTACCATTTATAAATACTTTTTAATAGAGAAGAAGGAGAAAAAACAGCAATCAGTAGCTGGAAGTGCCGACTCTAATCCAATAGATGTTTCCCGTCTGGATCTTCGAATTGGTTGCATCACAACTGCCAAAAAACACCCTGATGCAGATTCTTTGTATGTAGAAGAAGTAAATGTTGGAGAAAGAGCCCCAAGAACAGTTGTCAGTGGCCTGGTAAATCATGTTCCTCTTGAACAGGTAATCTGTACAACTGAAATTACTGTTGTGTACATATGTCATTTTCATTCCCTCTTTCTTGATATCTTTCCATTATAATTTTGTATACCATACAACATATGCCATTATTGATTAGTTCAGTTGCTTAGTTTGAATGTGGTTAATTCAACAAGAAAAGCATAAAACCACCAAAAACCTGTAAACTGTCTGTAAATTAAGATAGAATGCATGAGGATAAGAAGAAGAAAATATTTATTATTTTCTCCATTTTAAAAATCTTTTTACTTTTGTATTTTGCATAAAAATATGTGGGTGTGGATATATATGTATGGGTATATATATATATATATGTATGTGTATATATATACGTATATATGTGCATATATATGTATATATGTATATGTATATATATATTAGTAAAATCTAAGTAACAACAAAATACAAAACATCCCATTTTTAACAAATAAAGGAATACCATTAAAAATTGCAAGTTTAATCTCCATGATCCCCTCTCCTCATTTTTCCTCAAGTATGAAAATACTCTTTTTGGGTTTTAGACAAATAAAATTTGTTCTCGTAGATTGGTGCTTTCTGGGTTTTTATTACATGATTTTAAAAAGCAAGGAATGAGCCGGGCGCGGTGGCTCAAGCCTGTAATCCCAGCGCTTTGGGAGGCCGAGGCGGGTGGATCACGAGGTCAAGAGATCGAGACCATCCTGGTCAACATGGTGAAACCCCGTCCCTACTAAAAATACAAAAAATTAGCTGGGCATGGTGGTGCGTGCCTGTAATCCCAGCTACTCAGGAGGCTGAGGCAGGAGAATTGCCTGAACCCAGGAGGCGGAGGTTGCGGTGAGCCGAGATCGCGCCATTGCACTCCAGCCTGGGTAACATGAGTGAAACTCCGTCTCAAAAAAAATAAAATAAAATAAATAAATAAATAAAAAGCAAGGAATGATAAAATTCCATGATGGTATGTGATAATGATTATGATGACTGTTGTGTTAGAAGTACTTAATATATGAATTTTTTTTCACATGCTGTTTTATTTCTTATAACTCTCAGTTAAGAAGTATCATCCTCATTTACAGATGATGTTTTGGAAAGTAAACCAACTTGTGCTCTCTCTATATATGTATATATACTCATTCATCTCACTGTAAGGCTGATTATCTTTAATCACTATACTGTTCAGCTTTCCTGTGTACCATTCAAGGTTGGTTAGTAATGAAGCTTCTAACTACAGGTACTACGTAGTTTTTAGAGCCATACACATGACCAGGGTCATAAATTACAAACTGCTGGGCCAAGGAAAGAATGCAGTCCCCAAAAGTTTTAGTTTATCTTTCATAGTATTTCATAAAATACTTCCACATGGAATTTTACATGAAAATCCTGATTTCTTTTTTCTTAAAAATTCAGGACTAAGCTCTGCCCCCACCTTTCCCAACACCCTGCTGTTTCCTCGAGGCAGAAATTGGCTAACACTTAGTAATCGATAGCCCCTTTAGGTGGAAGTTACACTCTGCCACAGTTTCAACCATTCCGTAGTTGAGGTGGAGGGTCAGTTGTGATTATTTGGTATTTATCTTTGTTTTTCTGCTAGTGTTATACTTAAGGAAGGTTAAGGGGAGACTCAACTGTCTTTTTTTACCATGTCTCAAAAAAAATAAGACTATTACTTGTTTTTTCTGTCTAGGGTTCCTTACTCATTTCCTTTACTTACTTCGTAGACAGTTGTATCATAATTGCATCAAAATTGATCCCTGTCCTGGGCTTTTGTTTTGGCTCTCTAATTGCAGCATTGGTGAAACACAGTATGGGTAATGGATCAATATTGACCTATCATCAAGAGTACAAGGAAGTGATTTCTTCTACTTCCTACTTAACAAGCTCATTTCTTTTAAGCCATCAATGATGAATTATCTGAGCCAGTGAAGTTTGGGTTTTAAGTGTTTCATAAAAGAAATTGACAGGGGGAAGCCTAGAGTATCTCCACTTTTCCTTTCTTCTGGTGAGTTTAGCACCAAGGAATGTGCTTTTGTGTCGCTTCAGAAAACAAACCATGGTTACAGTTTATGTAATATTATTCCCTATTTAAGATGTAATTATTTCTATAGTAGAACTAGAGCTGGGTATTTGAAATATGTGAAAAGTAGTTATGGTATATTTTAGGAAGGATAAACTTGCATGATAACTATTTTAAAAGCAAATTGATACTCCATGATGATACCCTTCAGAGTGGTGTTTTCTAACTGTTGCTTTTTTTTTCTTATAAGCTTTCAAACCTCCTTCTCAACAAAAATTTACTTTCTCCCTTTTTCTTTACTTTTGAATAACATTTACTTTCTGTAAGAATTAAATGGTTTTTAAAAAATGTATTTAATAACAGTGGAAAGAATCAAAGACAGTAATAGTTTTAAATGTCCTTTTTCTAGATGTTTTCTGTAGTGATCTGAATCATCTACCATTTCCTCTGACCCATGTTGCTTCAGAGATACTGCAAAGAATATGGACTTCAACATTAAGATAGTACTGCCTTTGTTTATTGCCACTCTGCTGCTTCTTGGTTTTGTGAACTTGAACAAATCCCTGTGTTTATTCAATCATATTTATAGCTGCGAGTATTTGTTAGCACCTAAATAAAGGATACAGCAGCAAATTAAAATACAGAGATAGACGAACTTTTTTTTTTTTTTTTTTGGAGATACAGTCTCACTCTGTCACCCAGGCTGGAGTGCAATAAGGCAATCTCGGCTCAATGCAACCTCTGCCTCCTGAGTAGTTGGGATTACGGGCACCACTACCATGCCTGGCTAATTTTTTGTATTGTTAGTAGAGATGGGGTTTCACCATGTTGGCTAGGCTGGTCTCAAACTGCTGACCTCAGGTGATTCCGCCTGCCTTGGCCTCTCAAAATGCTGGGATTGCAGATGTGAGCCACCACACCCAGGCAACAAACAGATTTTTTAAAATAGCCCTGCCTTTATGAAGCTTACATTCCTATAAGGGAGTCAGAAATATTATCAAGGCATTAGTAAATATATAGTATGTTAACTAATAATAAGTGCCCAGAGAAAAATCAAGTAGGCAAAGAATGTAGTAAGTATTGAGGCCAGGATCATGTTGACATTTTATATAAAGTGCCCAGGGAAGACCTCATAAAGAAAATGACATTGAGTAAAGTCTAAGAAAATGAAAGCAAGTCACGTGTTTATCTGGCTGAAGAGCATTTCAGGGGGCATAGGAGAGGTGGATGCCTGGGGTGTTCAAGGAATAGCAGGAGGCCAATATGAAAAGAGCAGAGTAAATAAGTGAGAAAGTCATGGGAGATGAAATCAGAGGTAAGGGTGCCAAATGACTTATGGATCATTGTAAAGAGTGACATTTTTTCTGAGTAAGATGAAAGCCATTATAGGATTTTAGAGCAAAAGAATAACATTGGTCAGCCTAACATTTTAATAGGATCATTCTGGCTGCTCTGTTGATGGGAAGGAGATGGAATTAAGGAGATCAGTGAAGTTTCTCTTATCTAGGAAAAAAGAGATAGACTTGTCATATGCATGTGCTTTTTTTCCTTTTGAATATTTATTATTTACATAGGACCAAGGCTGATTCATAACTCCTTATGAAGTTAGGAGCACTGGAGAAAAGAACCAACTGATCTTAAGTCAACTTAAATTGGAAAATCTCCTCATTTGGGGCTCATCTTTTCTGTTCTTATAAGTTGTAGACTATTTTTTCTCTTCCAGCAGCCATCATTCACAACTATAAGCAAAGCTATTTTTATAAACATCTGTTTCTAACCCATCAAGATAGAACCTAAAATAAAAGTTAAAAAAAAACAGGTAGTACTAGTAAATATTCTATAAAGCAGGGTCACTTAGTTCTCAAAATTACATATGGTATTTTTTAGGTTGTACATTTTTCTAGGGAAAAGGTTTATAGCTATCATCAGATCCTTAAAGGATTGCATCTAACTAATCTTGTTGCTACTGTTAAACATTTTTGCTATAACTTTTAAGTTCTCATGTATGTGACATTGTCACTTCATTTGAAGCATTTGAAGATAAATATTATTTATGAAGACCCCCTAATTCATTTTGAATTTGACTCTTAGGCTCATTTTTTTTAAATCATAGAATTTCAAAGTCAATTTCCATATAACATTTATTTATAAAAACCATCTTTTATCTAAAATGTATCTTTTTTCCTCCTTCGAGCAATAGTCCTCTTGTATGATTCATTTTAAAGCTGTTGGAAAAATTTAAATAACTGTATTTCTTATTTTTGCTAGTTGGAGTAAAAAGACACTTGAGATTTGAAGATTAAAGAAATTATATTTGCTTCTGTAAAAAAATTATAGAAATAGCCCTACCTGTTAGTTGCATGATGCATAATGCTGGAATTGTTAAATGATTTTTTTTTTTTTTTTTTTTTTTTTTTTTT